CCATAGCTCTGCCTTTCAAGTAGATGAAAAATGAACAGGTCTTAAATAAAATATGCTTCAAAAAAGTGATCATCTAAAATACTGAAAAAAAGAAAAAGACATACAAAAAGCATTTTTTAATTAAATATATAAACAGACTTTAGGAAAAGCAGCAATGGATGGCAGCAAAACCTCAGGCTAGCAACATCAGGAAGCCATCATCTCTAGCTCTAAAGGGGCGAAGAGAAGGGTTACCAGAATCCAGAAAGATCTCTAAGTGGTAGAAATGGCCACTGAAGAGTGACCTACTCACAAAACACAGAACAACCCTAGCAACACAAAATCCAGAAGAGACTGGCTCTTTCAGAACTCCTGCTGACGTACCCTCATGAAGAGCAAGCCAACCAGAGATCAAAGAGCAAAAGCTCAGTAGACATAACCACGAGAAGTCCATTCCCACACCATAGAGCAGGGTGTAGAAAATAAGTAGAGGGGTAAATGCAGAATAGGCAGAAAGGTATCCTAAATGACTGCCACACAGCAAAAGACAGGCAGATGGGGAAAGTTTTACCAGTTCCATCGAAACCTGCTAGACATCATGGGACCACCAGCAAGTAAATCATAAACATAGGCACTCACTTGGGTTCCTACAACTCTACAACAATTTGGAATAGAAAAATAAATAAATTACACACACACACACACAAACCACACTAGTCAAAGACTAATTCCAAATAACTTCTAGCATTTCTGCATCTCCTTTTTCTTTGGTTTGTTTGCCTTTCTGTCAAGCCACTTACCTTTTTTTTTAAAAGATTTATTTATTTTTATTTGCAAGTCAGAGTTACACAGAGAGAGGAGAGGCAGAGAGAGAGACAGAGAGCCTCCATCTGATGGTTCACTCCCCAACTGGCTGCAATGGCTGGAGCTGCACTGATCCGAAGCCAGGAGCCAGGAGCTTCCTCCTGGTCTCCCACATGGGTGCAGGGGCCCAAGGACTTGGACCATCTTTTACTGCTTTCCCAGGACATAGCAGAGAGCTGGATTGGAAGAGGAGCAGCTGGGACTTGAACTGGCATCCATATGGGATGCCAGTGCTTCAGCCCAGGGCGTTAACCCACCATGCCACAACACCTGCCCCTCTTTAAAAAAAAAAAAAAAAAAACAAAAAAGAGGTCTTCCATCCACTGGTTCACTCCGCAGATGGCCACCACAGCTGGAGTTGCACCTATCCAAAGCCAGGAGCTTCTTCTGGGTCCCCAATGCAGGTGCAGAGCTGAATCGGAAGTAGAGCAGCCAGGACTTGAACCAGCACCCATATGGGATGCCAGCACTGCAGGTGGCAGCCCCACCTGCTGCATCACATTGCTGGCCCCGCCATTTATCTTTAATGGAGCAGATCTAACATAAGGTTCTCTGTGCTCAAAGTTAGCCCATAACTGCATTACTGCACATATCATAATGTATTATGACCTGTCATTTGTTTCTCCCTTGTTAGACTCTGACTCCTCTAGGGTAGGGAGTCTTACTCATCCTTATGTCCCTGGTACAAAGCTGACCTTCAATCAATGTGCACTGTGTCAATTAATGGACTCAGAGACCATTAACTATCAGCATAATGCCACTGTGGCAAAGATCTAGAATGACCCTTACCAATCAAACAGTGTAAGTTGTATTCAGGACATGGTTTAACAGCTACCTTCATCCCAGCCTACCATCATTTTGTGTAGGGCAGCTTTCTTCATACACCCTACAGAAAGTGACTCATGTTCTCATGCATATGGCCTTTTCTACTGCCAAAGAACCATTTACCAAAAAACAGGAAGATGGCAAGATGATGCTTCATTTCAGGATATTAATCAAACTCACATTCTCTCTCAGAACTTTCATTCTCTCTCCAAGGATCTACTAGATCCACTGAAGGAACTAATAATCGGGCATGTACATGGAAATTCATGTTTCCCACTGATGGGAAAGATGACTTATAAAGGAAAAACATGACTTATAAAGGAAAAACAAACATACACACACAGAGAAAGAGAGAGTGTGTGCATATTTAATGATTACTTCCACAGACATCACCCCTGGTAAAATTATAAAGTTGTTGTGTAACAAAATCATGTAACATCATCATATTAAAGTGGATATGTTGGGGTGTCATTAACAGAATCTGGAACATATTCACATTATAATTATGAATCACTTTCACATAACCCTGTACTTAAGAAGTGCTTAATCATCTTTCTGTTGTTATAGTAAACTCTTACCTGTAGATACTCCATGAAAAAGGACAAAGTTAATACCAAGTTCATAATCCTCTTCAAACTACCCTAATTTTAGGCTGCCAATCTTCTGCAGTCAGTAAGGTGAATAAAAACCAAATATAGTATGATCTTTAGACTCTACTACAAAGGTGAGTTCACTCTAAAAGCTATGTCCTCCAAACAGTCAGCATGAAGAAGTCTTGGGTCTCCTGGACCACTGTTCCCTTTCATTGCTATCTGTAATGAATGCTGATGTGGTTACATTTAGTGTCATCTCATAAATCTAAGTCAAATTAGTCAGCAAAACAGTGTCATTTTCTACTGGGGAAAAGGAAATTCTGAGTTTACCTTCATAACATATTACTTTAAAAGAAATTCCAATAATATGCAAATTGTGAAAAATATGTTCCAAATAGTCTTTTTTCAAACAAACTTAAGGCATAAGTCGCCAAAGCAAGATTTCTGCAAAACCACCAATGATAATTAAAATTGTGAATACAGTTTTTTTTTTTTTTTTTTGAGAGCTATCATATTCCTACAACTCTAAGGCCAATGCAGCAATAGAATTACTCTTAACCTCTACAGGACAACTAAGTGATATTTATGTAACAGTGAAGATACAGACTACACAAACCTATCATTTATAAAATTGTATTGCATAGGGGGCCAGCACTGTGGCGTGGCAGGTAAAGCTGCCACCTGCAGTGGCAGCATCCCATATGAGCACCACTTTGAGTCTCGGCGGCTCCACTTCCAATCCAGCTCTCTGCTGTGGCCTGGGAAAGCAGTAAAAGATGGCCCAAGTCCTTGGCCCCCGCACCCATGTGGGAGACCCAGAAGAAGCTCCTGGCTTCGGCTGCAGCTCGGCCAGCTCCAGCAGTTGCGGCCATCTGGGGAGTGAACCAGCAAATGGAAGACCTCTCTCTCTCTGCCTCTCTAATTCTACCTTTCAAATAAATAAATAAATCTTTAAAAAAATAAATTTTACTGCAAATAGTTTCCCCTACTATACATGAATTTAAACACACACACACACATACACACACACACAGATTTCTCACAGTGTTTGCGTTTAGCAATATTAGCTTCAGCTACCTCATAGTAGTATGTATTATGTTTCATTCCTCCTAATAAGTTATTTGGCCCACAGAAAAAAGATATTGTTTTATAAACGAGTAACTCCCACAAAATGGGGAAAGGGGAAGTTTATATATAATCCAGATAATACGCAATATGTAGCAAATTACCAATATTACTTATGATTGAGCATTTTCCTCTCCCTTCACTAAAATACAAATGAAACCTCACACTGAGTACAAATGAAACTAGACAAGTTCAAACATTTAACATCTTTACCAAAAGTAAACTTTTCACTGCAAATAAGTTTGAGTATATTTTAATTACCATCATTAATATGTCCTGACATCTGAAAAGATTATTTCTGTTTCTAGGGAGATAGTATTCCAACTTGCATTCCTCCTTTACTAAACAATTCCTAAAATTCATTGAGGAGCTATAGAGGAAAAGTTTTGGTAGACATTAAAGAACCTGCATAAATAACAAAAGGGAATTCTTTATTCTTAAAAAAAAAAAAAAGGTGATAGAGAATCTGTAATACACGACTGCTAGCACACAGGCGGGCAGGTTCGAAGCAGGAGAGTGGAATTACCCCGGGGGAAGCCAGGGTGCACACTTGCACCCAGGATGCTGGTCCATGGTCCCCGACCCCGAGAAGCAGCCAGGTCTACTACCGCTTCCACTACTGAAACACGGGTTGGACTCCGCAGACCCGGAGCAGGTCTTCTGGTTGCTGTTTTTCCATAACACATACATAGTTCACAAACCTAACTACCTTTCACAATGCTTCTTTTAAAAAGGTGAAAACTACTCCTTCCAACGCCTAACCCTTATCCGGAAAATCCCAATGCTCTCTTGTCAAAAGAAAGGAGCCCCTGGCAACCGGAAACTTAAGAACCGAACCCTTCTCATCAGACAACGCCAAACGCACTGCGGCTACAGAAAGTCTAGTGCTCCCGGCGGGGCTGTCCCAGGGGACGGAACGCGACACCGGGGCAAGGTCTGGGCGCAGAGGGAACCAGCAGCAGGGCTGCGGTAGCCTCCCGGTCCCGAGCAGCACGCTTCCTCGGCCCTACAGGCAGAAACTCGGCACCCTCACCCTCGCTGGTAACCTGGTAATTTACAACCTGCCAGCACCTTCTAATTAGGAACGTTCTCGCCTTTTATAGCCGAAAAAATTAAACTGCTTCTCCCAAGTTGCGATAAACCAGGCGCTGGCGCCTGCTACTGAGAAGCCCCTGCGCATCCAACCTCCCGTTTTCGCTCCTGAACCTGGGGAGCCAGTGTCCAGGCTTCCCTCCGCGAGAGGAGAGGAGCCCACCCTGCTCGGCTGCAGTGGAACGGGAAACAGAGAACAGGAGCGAGGCACCGAGCGCACAGGCGGGAACAGCCACCAAGAAGAGCTGGGCTCAGCGCACCGGCGGGCGACAGACAGCCAGCGGCGGCCGCGCGGGAGCTGGGGTGCAAGCTGCGAAGCGGGGACCCGGGCTGCCGAAGCCGTCCCCGGCGCGCGCACCAGGCACACGCACACACACACACACACAGCACACACTCATACACACCCCCAAGCCGGCCCCAAGGCTCTGCGCGAGTCCCCTCCCGGCGGCTACGGCCCGCACCGATGCGCAGCCCACCCGGGCCCGCGCGCACACGCCCCTCGGGCAGGCGGCGCGTACGTACCCAGCAACACGCAGAGCACATCGAGGGCCACGTACGGCAGCCGCGTCTTGTCAAACATGGTCTCGGCCGCGGCTGCCCGGCGCGGGCGGCGGACGGAGCTGCGGGCCGGCGGCCGAGGCGCCCGATTCTCTAGACCGAGCCAAGGGCTGGCGACGGCCCCGAGCACGGCCCCTTCCAGCCGGAGGAGAGCGACCGAGGGAGGACCTGGGACCGGGCGGCGCTACGACCGCCAGCAATGGCGCCCGGGACCCCTCCCCTCAGAGCGCCCGCAAACACTCGGTCAGGGCCGGCACGCTCGCGTGCCAGCCGCGGCAGCTCTGTCACCTCAGGCCCTCCTCGGTCGGCCTGTCCCGGCCCTGTCCCGGCTGCTGGCCGTCCGGATCCCGGCGCCCTCTCCAACAGGCGGGGCGTTCGGACTCTTGCTTTAAGGATGGGGACCGGTAGGGAGGAGGAACGCGGGCTCGGGCCCCTCCCGCCGGGCAGCGCGGGATCGGCCAGCGCGCGGCCTCGCGGGCTGCAGGAAAGCGGCAGGGGCGGGGCCGGGGCGCCCAGGCCGGGCGGGCAGCCAATCAGCGCCGCCGGCCCCGCCCCGCCCGACCTGCGGAGTCCCGACCGGAGCTGGGCGCCGGGTGGCGGGTGGGGCGGGAGGCGTCAAAGGTGCCAGGCGAAGAACCTTTGCTCGGACTGGCCGTTCTCCTGGTGGTCTCCGAACTCCGCCCACCTCAGGCCTGGCTGCTGAGCGCGGTAGCTCTCAAAGCAGAGCTTGGCGCCCTCCCACCATTTCACAGGGGGTGCGGGTAATAACGAGGTCGGGGTGCGCAGTGACAGGCTCCCGGTGACCAAACTTCGGCTGGGCTCCTCTGAGCCCTGTTTTCCAGTAGGCCCCGGTGCTGGCCTGCCTGTCCTGGCCGAGCGTGGTTTTAGCCGGAATCCTGCGAAGTCATCCTCCTAGCCTTGATACCTGATCCTCCTTGATGTTTTGATACTTAACACCACTCGGATCTCTTACTCACCGCCCCCCCTTACACACACACACACACCTCGACCTGTGATGTATAAAACCTTTTCTTTGCCTTTAGCAAGAGTGCTGCTACCCTTGGCGTTTCTTAGTCATTCTCCCACTGACCCCCCTCCCTCCTCTTGTCCGCGGCTTTAACTCTCCAGCTGTCTTTGCACTATTCTGGAAGGAGCTGAGCTTCTCTCACCTGCTGCAATAATCATGTCGCAGCGGACTTGAGTAACGTCTTCCTTACATTTTGACAAGTGTCAGAATTAATTTTTTTTTTTTTTACAGCAGCCAAGTACTGCCATGCCCCATTCCCAAGAGAACGCCAGAGCAAACTTACTCTCTGTCCTAATCTGCAAAATGGGCATGTTGATAATCCCTGCTGTGTTCCAGTTAAGGGGAAGTGGTGAAGCCCAGGAAAAAACTGTGAAATCGCTCCACGGAAGATTAAACCATCCACAGATGTTAAACATCGGTGTCTTCCCCTGTTTGCAGACTACCTTATGCAAAGATGTAAAACACAAACCACGATATGTACTTACTACTTCTCAAATTTTTCCTACAAGACATCCCCCCAAACCAGTGGAGAGATTATGTTAAAATATAACCCCAAGTGATCTCCAAAAAGCAAAAGATATTTGAAGAACTAGGTTTTTCCTTTCGCCTTTTGAGTAGCTTCCAAAAGCTTTAAACAATTCACACCTGAGAAAGGTGTGCCATTGTTTATTTTGTGACCTTCCTTACTCCCAGAACAACAAGGGCCCCACATGGCAAACTCACAACAAATTGAAAGTACTTCTGATATCCAAGTATTAGGTGTTCATTCCAAAAAAAAAAAAAAAAATTTACCTAGCACCTACTGTATGCAAGGTGTTTTATTCAAATGTACTTTATATATTGTCTTCATTCTGAACTTTTTTCTCCTCCTATCAAATTAGATATCCTTCGAGCCACACATTCCATGGCTCTGCCCCTAACTCCCTAAGCCTCTGGTAACCACCATTCTACTCTGTCCTTCTGTGAGATCAGCTTTTCGAGATTCCACATGTGCGTGAGGTCATGCTGTATTTGTCTCTATGTGCCCGGGTTGTTTCAGTTACTGTAATGCTCTCCAATTCCACTCATGTTGTCTCAAATGACAGGATATAATTCTCACTTAGATTTGGATAGTACCCCATTGTGTAGATATATCACATTTTCTTTATCCACTCTTCCACCGATGGACCCCTAGGTTGATCCCATGCCTTGGCTACTGTGAATAGTGCTGCAATTAACATGGAGTGCAGATATCGCTTCAGCATCCTGACTCTCTTTCCATTGGATATATACCCAGTAGGAGACTGCTGAATCATGTGATAGTTCAATTTTTAAGATTGTTGAGGAGGGGCTGGCATTGTGGAATAGTGAGTAAAGCTGCCAACTGCCGCGCTGGCATCCTACTTGGGTGCCGGTTCAAGTCCCAGATGCTCCACTTCCAATCCAGCTCCTTGCAAATGTGCCTGGAAAAGCAGCGGAAGATGGCCTGAGTTCTTGGGCCCCTGCACTCATGTAGCAGACCTGGAGGAAGGTTCTGGTTCCTGGCTTCTGCCTGGCCCAGGCCCAGCCCCAACCACTGTGGCCATTTGGGGAGTGAACCAATGGATGGAAGATCTCTTTCTCTCTCTCACTCTCTCTCTCTATAGCTCTGCTTTTCAAATAAGGAAAAATTTAAAAAAAAAAAAAAAACACCACAACTTTAAACAAACAAACAAAAAAATATTTTGAGGAACTTCCATGCTCTTTTCCATAAGGGCTATCATAAACTGCATCCCTACCAACCGTGTGTGAGAGTTTCCCTTCCTCCATAGCCTCGTCCACGCTCAGCTTTTGCCTTTTTGGGGAGAACCATTCCAACAGGTGTAAAGCAATAGCTTATCGTGATTCTGATTTCCCTGATGTTCAATGGTTCTCTCACATTTATTGAGCCCCCAATCTAGCCAGATCCAGTGCACAGCTGAGGAGAGGCCAAAAGGAACAGGAGCCCAGCTGGGAAACTGACACTTAACAAATCCAGGGTCCCGAGCAAAGAGTGTTGGGCAGGGGTGGGGAATGTCCAGTGGCCCTTCACTTGGTCCATTTGGTCCGGTTCTACCAAGGCAACCACAGGTAAGACTCAAAACTCAAGCAGACTAATTTTTAAGCTGATAATTTTGTATGACCCGCAACTGATTTATAAATATCCAAATGGTTGTTGGCAGAAAAAAAGGGCCCCACCTCTGGTCAGCAAGCACATGGAGTGGGGGCTTTACCTTAGAGCTCTGGAAGGCATCAGGGGGAGGTGACAACTTGCTTTGTTCCTTCTCACCCCTCTCCCATACCAAATAGCCATTTCCTTGAGAGAGAAGGGAATGAACAGTTGATTTGTAAGCACTGTGTTTTGCCCTTTAGAGGCATTATAGATAATAGCTTTAAAAGAGATTAATAAGCCAAAGTCCATTAAAATGCTGTCATTTCCTGTTTCCTTAAATGGGATCTGTGCTATGTGCAGATTATAAACAACTAATCAGCCCTCATTTTAGAAAAGAATTACTAAAAAAATTTTGTTTGGAGGTAGAGGGTTTTTATTTAACTGGGGCAATTTCATTTTGCTTTGTTCTACTGTCATTATTGGACCCTGGTGTTATTGGAATTGAAAGTGAATTAAATAACTTTGAAATGGTGATGAAGATAGAAACAAAGGAACACTGGTGTTCTTGGCCTAGGATTCAGCTGCTAGCCAGAACACCCACGTCCCACATCAGAGTATCAGGGTTCAATTCGTGGCTCTAGTTTATGACTCCAACCTCCTGGTAACGCAGACCCTGGGAGGCAGCCACGATGGCTCAAATAATTGGGCCCCTGCCATCTATGTGGGGAACCTGGATTTGAGCTTCCAGCTCCTGGGTTTGGTCCTCATAGCTGTTGCAGATATTTGGGGAATGAACAAGCAGATGGAAGTGCTCTCTCACTCTCTCTCAACTAATACAAAATTAAATATAAAAAAATAAGAATATTGGCTGAAAATGACACCATCAGCACCCTCTGAGGAGCAAGAAATGAATGTGCCCCTGGACTTAACATGAAAGCCCAGAGCCTTCCTTAAATGCTTAAAGTCTGTCTTCGGGCCTCTATATTGTCTTCTGCCCTGTGTGATATAAGCAAAGAAAAGCAAAGTAGGATGAGCTTGGGAGGAACAGTCCTGAAGACTCCCTGAAGCAGAGAGAAACTAATTTCCTCTTTCCTTTCATTACTAACTTTCTTGAAAAGCAGTCTACCATCTACAAATCTGTCTCCCCCATTTCCACTCTTTAAATACCTCCAGGCCGAACTCCATCCCCAGCCCTCTTCCTGCACTGCTCTGTAATGTAATACATATCACAGGTGGGTCTCTCTCCATTCTGGCAGTTTCCCGTCTCCATTACTTATTGCATAAAGTGTCTGCAAAGTAATAAGAAGTAATCTCCTTAGGGCATCTGTGCTTCCATGTGTTCATGTCCTTTCTTCCCAGATGGAATGATGCAAAATATACGGCTTTTATTATCCTCAAAAAGCTTTGTAAAACTAAAGCAATTAAAAGGCTCAATGTCTGATTCCTCACTGCATGTGTTCCAAAAAGAAAATTTCACAATAAGGTATGTTGTAATCCTTTTCACAGTCGTGATCAAAACAGTTTGGTTCTTGCCTTATGAAAGGTTTACCACATAATATTGATACATGAATATATGAAGTAAGATGAAGAAAACAATAAAGTGAAAAACTGAATCCACTACTCATTTGAACACCTAGATCATTACAGAATCATTGAAACCTGTGTATTTCATCGCTCTCTTGATCCCAGTTTCAGGAAAGGTAACTACTACTCTGAATTTTTATTTTCCCTGCTTTGCTTTCTCCTTATTGAACAACATGTGTACCTGTCTCTAAAAACACACATTGTTAGGGTTGGCATTTGGCCTAGCAGTTAACATGCCAGTTAAGAAGCTTGTTCCTACATCCTTGCGCCTAGACTCAATCTTAGGCTCAGGCTCTCACAATGCAGTTCCAAGGAAGCTGCAGTAATATCTGAAATAATTGAAATAACATCTGGATTGAGTTCCCAGCTCCTGGCTCTGGCCCCAGGCCAGCCCCAGGCTAGTGGGCTTTTGGGGAGTGACCCATTGGGTAGGAGGTTCTACTGTCTCTCTCTCTCAAATGATTTTTTTAAAAAAATACATATATTTAATTTGCTTGTTTTTAGCTTTTAAAAAGATTATGCTATATATGTAGTCCTCTACTGTTAATTGTTTTTACTCAATTGTATTTCATACATTCATTCATGTTGCTGCAATTGTAGGTCTATCATATAAATATAATATTTTACTCGTTCTTCTTAACAAAGGTCATCTGGGTTATTTCCCATTTTGAAAATAATGTTGGGGCTGGTGCTGTGGCACAGCGGGTTAACGCCCTGGCCTGAAGCGCCAGCATCCCATATGGGCGCTGGTTTG